GAACATCTTATTTCGATGCAACCTTAGTCTTAAACAATAACTAATTAATACTCCTTCCGTCCCCTTAAGATGTTTTCATTTTGACTTTTGGTGGTTTTTAAGGAGACTTGAAAAAAGGTGAAAATTTACCATAATACCCTTAATGAAAATGGATAGAGTGTATTAAATAAGATGGGTGAGGTGTAATAAATAAAATAAGTGAGGGTAATTGTTGTATTTTAATTGTTAAAAAATGAAATGAGAAGATCTATTGTGGACAAAGGAAAATGACTATTGAGAAGATCTATGGAGGACAGAGGGAGTAGTAATATTCACTCTGTCTCAAAATATACTCGTCCCTAAATATTTGTCACATTTGTATTTCTGAAGGAAAATATCATGTTTTTTCCATTCATTTTATTTACATATTGTTATAGAAATAAAAAATAAAATTTACATATAAAAAACTACATGAAAAGTTCTTCGAAATAATAGGTGTCAAGAATATTTTATTTTATCAAATAACCAATGAAAACGTAGAAATAAACAAAAGTTCCCGCGACTGCTAAAAAAGAAAACGTTGCAAATAATTTGGGACAGAGGGAGTAATTTTTTATTTGGTTTGGTACAAAGTTTGTTTAAGAAAATTAAAATTTATTTGATTGAAAATTATACATAAGAAAGAGAAAGATCGTGGGCCACTAAAAGTTTTTCAAAAAATGGAATGTTGAGTTTTTCGCGAGAAAGAAACGTCAAGTCCTTTTGAGAGAAGAGGAATATTAGTAATCTTAGGATTCTTAGGTCTTGAAACTGTTGAAAGAAAATTATTTACTCCCTCAGCCTGATTTTTTCAATATTATAATGTAATATATGTTTATACTTTTCTTAACATAATACTCCGTAAAACACAATGCGTCAACCTGTTTTTATCCTGGGCTCGAATCTCGATAAATTTTGTCATAAATCTTGGAGGTGGACTTCCTACCATTCAAGCCAAAAGAAGATTGCCTACGGTTCTCCATCCCCATTTAATTATTCTCTTTTAAAAAAATTTATTTAAAAAAAATGAATTTAAAATGGCAAGTAATTCGTTCAAATGAGTTTATGTCAATAGTATTCCTATTTCTAGCATATCTTTAATATATTTTAAGTAAATTCAAAAACAATAACTCAAAATGATTTTTTAACCAATATAAAAAGTTAATAACTGATTCAAACAAATTAGAATATGAGTAACAAATCGGGTCAAGCCAAACAAACTTGGACACCTAACATAACGAACCTGGACACAAATGGAAAGTTTTCGGGCTGCAGGCTATACCTACCTGAAAAGGAATCCAAATCATTGGTTCATTTTACGGAGTACGGAGTATTTGTTACCGGGGTATGCTAGAGGCACACCACCATTTAACCCCACTTTAACCCCGTATATACATATTTTTTTATTTCTATTTTTTAAAATAATTGACTTCCTTCCCTCTCCTCTTTAATATCCCTTGACCCCATGTTCTTTCTCCCTCCATCTTCTTCGTCCCTCTCTCTTCTTCTCTTTTTTTTTGTTTCATCTTCAAATTTCATCCTTTAACTTTATTTGTTCTTTATTATCCAGGGGTTGCGCCCCAAATTTTTTGGCAGACTATTTGATATGACAAAAATTAATGAATTTTATTTTCAAACATTTATTGAATGTAAATTTTTTTTAATAGGTTATGTGAAATTTTATTTTATAAAAAATTAAGGAAAAATTATCCAAAATAATCCCAACTATACCCTGTCTTTCAAAAATAATCCCACATTTCACTGTGATGCATAATAATCTCAACTTTACTGAAATTTGCCAGTTTTGGGTCGCCGTTAAGTTTCTAACGAAGGGTTAACGAAAATACTCGTTTTAGGCAACAAAATGAAAGTTGGGATTATTTTTGATGAATTTTCATATTTTTTATTTTTTTAAATTTTTCATTTAAATTTTTTAAATTACTTTCTACCTCCATCATCATTTCTTTTTCCTTTTTTAAAGATTAGTCTTAGTTTAAAAAATAAAAATAATAGATATAAAAAATGAAAAAAATGAGAAATGTAACTAAAATGATACAAAAATAATAAAATAAATAAGGTAATCAATGGAAACTAACTTGAAATTGGTAAAAGTAAAATAAAAATATACGGGTGGGTTTTAATATTTTACGCATTATACAAAGTATTAACATATCACTTCTTATTTTTTAGAAAAATTATCTACAATAATTCCAACTTTACCGGACGGCTTGTTCTTTTAAAAAATAAGTAGTACATTAAGACTCCGTATAGTGTGTAAAATGTTAAAACCCACCACTCCGTATATATTTATTTTATTTCTTACCAGTTTTTGTTTAATTTCTATTGATTACATTATTTATTTGATTAATTTTGTATGGTTTTAGTTATTTTTCTCATTTTCATTATTTTTTATATCTATTTTTTTCTAAGGTAAGAATAATCTTTAAAAAAGAAAAAGAAATGGAGGTTGAAAGTAATTCAAAAAATTTAAATAAAAATTTAAAAAAAATTTAAAAACAAAAATTCATAAAAAATAATCCCAACTTTCATTTTGTTGCCTAAAACGGGCATTTCCGTTAACCTTCCGTTAGAAATTTAACGGCGACCCAAAACTTGCAAATTTCAGTAAAGTTGGGATTATTATGCATCACAGTGAAAGGTGTGATTATACTCCCTAAATTGTATTATTTTGGGTAATTTTTCCAAGTTAGGATTTTTCTAACCGGTTTATTTCCAAGTTAGGATTTTTCCAAGTTGGGAAATACTCGGTTTATTTTTGAAAGACCGAGTAAAGTTAGGATTATTTTGGGTAATTTTTCCAAAAATTAATTATATGCAATAAAATAAACTTTACTAAAAACAATTAACAAAAAATTTAAATTTAGCCTAATTAGATGGGGTCACATGAACTTCTCCCCTGGCTTGAGTGGTAGCAAGCCCACTCCCCAGGATTCATGGGGAAGTTCACCCAGGTTCGAGCCCCAGCGAAGGCAGCAGCATTGGCTCTTTGTGCGTCATTAGTCATTAACTTGAGAATAGTATGAACAGATACTACCTTGTAATAGAGTTAATAGCATTCAAAAAAAAAAGATAGGGTCACATTAGTTTTTGTTGGGGGCATATATACATCAAAATTTTAATTTTTTAATTTTTTACCTTTTTCAAAAAAAAAAAAAACTAGTTGGGGGCATTGCCCCTACTTTATTGAACTAGATCCGCCCCTGGTTTATATTTTGAAGAGGGGACGATCGATTGTGGCAAAGAGGAATGACCGAAGATGGTCGGAGGGATGAAAGGAGACACAATCGCAGTTAATGGTTGTAGTGAAAAACAATTAAAATTGGAGCAGGAAATTTGAAAATAAAATTAAATAAAAAAATAAAAAGAGGACGAAGGGGAAGGAGGGATGAAGAAGATGGTGAGAGGAAGATGGAGGGACTGCAACTGTGGAAAAAGAGAGAGAAAGTGGTCAATTATTAAAAAAATTAGTAAAAAAGAAAAAAGAGGGATAGGGGTTAAAGTGGGGTTTCTTTAGTAGTGTGCATATAGCATTTCCGTTTGTTACCGGACACCCATTATATTGCTTGTATCGTATGCTAATGAATTAAGACTCCACAAATGAAAGCAAAATGTGACAACTCCACCGTGACAAGGAAATTAAAGTTACNGAATGGAGGAAGTAATAATTTACCACATCAAATCAAGAGCAATTTAGAAAAATCAACATAGAAATATATCTTCCGTATATCACATAAAACTCTAAACAAGAAAAAGATTTATGGACAGATGTAGTAGAGTTCGTATATTGTACAGTCGGCTATACCAAAAATAAGGTACAGCCGGGTCATTTTCTGACCCAAATGAGCAGACCGAAAAGATGAACATTTCTTATATAAACTTGATGAGTATTATGCATGCAACACCCATATATTTCATTCTCCGTAGGATATTAATTGTCAATAATTATTTTGGAGAAATAATTTTGTGGACCCCACCAAATTTAAGTTCGAAGTTTTCCAATTATAAGCCAAAAATTCCAACAAAACGAATATTTTGTTACTCTTAAAATGTGTATTTGAAGGATGTTGTTTTGATGTACTCCCTTCGTACCAGAATATTCGTCCAGTTTTGACTTTTGGAACTGTTCATCTAAGCACTTTGACTCATCAAATTCTCTTAATGTGTAAGCCTAAATATAGTCATGTGTGATCTTGTTTGATTTATCTTAACATATACTCCCTCCGTTCCAAAAAAGATTTACACCTTTCAAAAAAATTACGTCCCATAATCTCTTACCCATTTCTATTAAAAACCACTTTTACCCCTTACTTTTTCAAACCCTACCTATCACATCATACTTTTTTCCTAATAATCTACACATCACATCCTACTTTTACCCATCACATCAAGGGTATTTTTGGAAAGTCAACACAAAATTATCCTTCCCTTAATTTCAACTTTAGTCAAAATGTGTAAATCTTTTTGGGACGGAGGTAGTAGATTATTAATATATAATTTCTATAATATTTTAGTATATAAATTACAAGATAAAATGGATTAAAGAAGTGTATTGGATGGTGTGTAAAAATAAAAGTGGACAAATAATCAAATACTCTGGGACGGAGGTAGTAGTATTTACATATAGAAATCATCCTAAATAGGACTAACACATAGAGAAAAGTACCAAAATAGGACTTTCATGTTTTTTTCCCTGGAATAGGACTTTGCATTCTGGTAATGTGACTTTGTACATGTGCAAATTACTATACTTTTTTGGTAATGTATATGACCATGTTTGGTAATGTAAGTCCTATTTCGAGAATAAAAACATGGAAGTCCTATTTTGGTATATCTTCAATGTTTTAGTCCTACTTTGATCTTTCTCTAATTAACATACTCCCTGTATAAATACTACCCTTTTAACATATTCACATATGCCATCAATTCTCTATAAATATAGACCAATACATCCATGCCCTGAACCATAATAGTCACAACTTTGAAGCAATATACCACACCTAAAGAATAAACAAATTAAACTACGTGCGGATATATTATATGGTTTTCCCCATCTTCATATGATGGAGACACAAAAGAAGGTTGGGAATGGGATAAAGGTTTTGATGTTCCCATGGCTGGCCGTGGGACACATCACCCCCTTCTTTGAGTTTGCCAAGAAACTCTCCCAAAGAGGCTTTCATGTCCACCTTCTCTCCACTCCCATAAGCCTTACTTTCATACATAACACCCACTCTTCAATCCACCTTGTGGAGCTTCACTTGCCGGAATCCCCGGAACTCCCGCCTCACCGCCACACCACCAACGGCCTCCCGCCCCATCTCAACCTCACCCTCCAAAATGCCCTCAGGTCGTCCGAACCCGCCTTTTCCGACATCATGGCCACCCTAAAACCCCACTTGCTCATCTACGACGCTCTCAACCCGTGGGCCGCACCGGTAGCCGGGTCCCACGGTGTTCCCGCCGTTCGGCTCTTCACTTCTGGTGCCGCCCCATGTTCCTACGTAATCCACACGTTTCTCCGGGAGAGGAACGCCCATGATGGTGGCAAGGAGGAGGAGTACCCTGTTCCAGAGCTCGATCGTCGTCTGAGCTTCCACGACCGAGAGATGATCCGGGCGATCATCCGTGACCAAGGGAGGATTCGTGACCCCGAGGACAGGAACATAATTTTGATGAGTACGTCGAGGGAGATGGAGGGGAAATATATTGACTATATGAGTCGATTGTTTGGAGGTTGTAAGATATTGCCACTCGGGACCCTGGTTCGCTACGAACAAGACGACAACGACAACAACAGTTTCCACGTGGTCATGGAATGGTTAGGAGAAAAAGAGGAGAAGTCGACGGTGTACATTTCTTTCGGGAGCGAGTGTTTTTTATCTGATGAGGAGATACAAGAGGTTGCCTTGGGATTAGAAGAAAGTGGAGTGGATTTCATATGGGTGGTTAGGTTTCCAAAAGGTGAACAAAAAGATCTAAAAGTGGCACTTCCAAAGGGTTTTCTTGGGAGGGTTGGGGACAGGGGGAGGGTTGGGGACAGGGGGAGGGTGGTGGAAGGGTGGGCCCCGCAGGCGAGTGTCCTGTCGCACCCAAGCATCGGAGGATTCATGAGCCACTGCGGGTGGAACTCGACGATGGAGAGCGTTGTGCATGGCGTCCCTATCATAGCGATTCCCATGCAATTTGAGCAGCCTATAAATGCCAAGCTGATTGTGGAGATTGGGGTTGGCGTTGAGGTCGTGAGGGATGACCGCACCGGAAGGTTTCGCCATGAAGACGTGTGTAGAGCCGTTAGTGGCGTCATTCATGGGAAAGTGGGAGACGCCGTGAGAAGGAACGTGCAAGTGATTGGGGAAAACGTGAGAGCCAAAAGCTCGAAGGAGATGGAAGAAGCTGTTGCTATGCTTGCCCAACTCTCTTGTCAAAAATGATACAAACATAACATGCCCACTCATATGGAAGGAGTGCTTTTGAATTGGTTCTTGATCATGAGTAACAATGTGTATGATACATAGTCACATTTCACACATTATAATATACTCCCTCCGTTTGGAAAAACCCTTCCCATTTGATTTGGGGGCAAAAATAAGGAAGTGTTAAATTATAGTTGATTTCCAATTTTGCCCCTGATGTGATGGGTAAAAGTAAGATGTGATGGATAGATTATTAGAGAAAAAGTATGATGTGATAGGTAGGGTATGGAAAAGTAAGGGTAAAAGTGGTTTTTTAATAGAAAGGGGAAGTATTTTGTTGGAAGTGGAAAAAATGAAAGAGGAAGTGTTTTTGAGAACGAAGGGAGTAGAAAACATGATGCAAACTAAACAGTGTTCATCATCAAGCCTTAGTCCATACATGTATTAAGTCATGCTAATTTACATTACAATATTACATTTCCCCCTAAACCCATAAAAAACAAAAAGATGCTAGCATACCAGTACCCCCATGAATCCAATCATTCAGTGTAATTTCAAATGAGAACAAAAAACAAAACTCTCCAGAAACAAATTTATATATGCCAAAGCATGATATGACAAAATCAGGACCCCTTGGGAAGCTTTTGAGAGGTCATGAGGGTTTTGGTCAACCAGATAGCCGTTTCCCTGGACGAGACCGCGTCTTCTCCAAACGGTTTAAGCACGCCATAAAGCTCGTCGAACTTTTCCTGTTTGATCAGCTGGGCACAGAGCTCAAGCAGAGACTCCAAAGCATCTGCTCTTTGTTTAGTCGGATTACCCCACTCGTCTTTGCTCTCTGCCAGTGCTGTAAGCTTACTCAGCAACGAGTTCCTCCTCCGTGTCTTCTCATCACATTCTCTTTCTCCATCTTCTTCTTGCCTCTCTTCTTTCTGTACAGGCGTTTCATTAGCCGCTTCCCGGTTTGAGTTTGGGAGGACTGAAGCAGAAGAAGACATTGGAGTGCTCAAGCTTTCTTCGTCGCTATATTCAGATATTTTCGGAGAACAGCTTTTCCGGTCAACCCTCTTGGTCTCAAGTTCGGCTTCAATGACGAGATCACCCTTCTTTTGAGAGGTGCTGCTTGGTTGGGTCTCTGGGCTTTGATTGAGTGAAAAAATAGGAATGCTGTCCTTCAAGTGTTGCCGTCTCTGTCTGCTGCTGCTAGAGTTGCTGGGAGAAGGCTTTCCGCCTGTCTTCTCCTTGGCACTGTTGGGAGACTTCACAGGGAGAAACACAGAGGGGAGGTTTTGACATCTAAGAAGGTGGGCTTGCAAATGCTGATGCCTCAATAACTCTGCTGCCTATTATTTTTTGAGGCATGTAAGTCACAAACGCTTTCCATTATTGTACATTTATAATATACCTAACGATATATACGAGTACTCTCTATCTTGCACTTACTGTTGGTCTGTGTTCTGGGCTCTTCCTTAGCATGGTTTTTATGATCTGTTTCCTACAATGGTTGAACTCGTACCGTTAATCGAATGATATTAGAAAATAATACTGTCCAAGGGTCTGTTTGGATATGGGCATTTGGAGGGCTCGCTCTATATCTTGATTCTTGAGCATTATACAAGCCCTCAAAAGGTTCCTACGAAAACTGTCCAACCAAACATGCCCTAAAATGCCGTAATGAATAAGAACAGCTTACAAGGTGGACGAGTACACAACAGGAAGTGGAGATAAAGTGCCCCTATTTATCTTGTTGATGAGAGTGGCCATGTCCTATTCAAATCCAGGTGTTGTTAATTTCCATCTCCCCAATATAAAATCAAGAAAAGATATTTAACTCTTTAAGTGGGTAAATTTTTTAAAGCTTTAGATGAAAATATTCTTACGGGTGCTCTGAAAGGCGGTTGATGCCCAGCAATCTCAAACATGCAACAACCTAAAAAGAAGTAAAGGTGTGTCATCATATTCCTGAACCAACAAGATGAACAAGAAAGCATTCTTTAGTGTATTTCTCACCAAGGGACCAAATATCAGATTTGTAGCCATATGGCATTTCAGAGAGGAGCTCAGGGCATATGTAGTTCGGAGTGCCAACGACCTGTTTTTTCCAGGTGAGAAAGAAAGCCATTAAAAATGCATAAGTTTGCGACTGTTGTTTCAGATGGATAGAGACAATTCATACCGAGGAAGTGACACCTTTTGCGTCCACAAGTTTCGCAAATCCAAAATCACCTATGATCAAAATATTCAAAAGTATTTCAATACAAAAATTGAGATCATATCATAGTATAGGAAATCAAATGGCTTTTAATCAGTCGACTGTCTTCTTCTTACCAAGACGGACATCATTTTCCTTTGTGATGAAAATGTTGGACAACTGCAATCAAACAAGTTCATATCATATTACAAAAGACTGAAAGAGGGGTGATCAACCAATTAAGAAGCTAAATGAGTGGAACTATCAATCCAAGACTAAACATATCATGATTTCTCATTCTTTTTATGTTCTTATACATTTTAAACGTTCTTCATTAAATTCAACATTTAACCCGTAAAGGAGATTTCATTAAAAATCAAAATATAAATAATTAAAAGTAGAAATAATTCATGATTTTTTTAAGTCTTAGATTGATAGATAGTTTTGATTGTGCGGGTCCTAAACTGATACTCTATAGTTTTCAGCTTCTGTGTCCTTAATTAACAGCTAACCTAGGTTTCGGGTCCTAAACTGATGCCATCTTAAAAGTTAAGAGCTATATAAAAATGAGTTTGATCATTTTATACCTTCAGATCTCTATGAAGGACTCTATTGGAATGCAGATAATCCAGAGCCAATAACATTTGAGTCAACCATTTGCAGAGTTTCTACACCAGATTTAAAAAAAAGATTTATAAATGATAAAGGCAAAAAGGAAGCCCAGTTTATAATTTTTCCCCAAGGAATTGCAAAGGGTCCCAAATAAAAATGTGCTATAGGCAAAAACTGAATCTTGTTTACCTCTTCCGAGAACAACGCTCCTCTGGATTTTTTTAAAATCTCCGCCCTGAATAATCCAAAAAACAATGAAGTAAATATACGATCACAAACCTAAATTCGTACATGATCTCTAAGGCCCCATTTGGTACACGGAATTGATGGAATTGGAATTGAATTGGTATTAAAATTCTATGGGATTCAATTCCATAGAATTGAATTCATCAATTTCAATTCATTTTTTGCACAACCAATTCCAAATCCACATAATTTTTGTGGTACCAAACAGGAGAATTGGAATTGAAGTCCTCAATTCCAATTCTATAATTTGAATTCCGTGTACCAAACGGGGCCTGAGTATTTTGTGAAACCAAATCAAACATTGAAGCGCACGTCATCAGCAAGTTTTATTCCAAGTCAATGTTTTGTAAACCTGAATTCACGCCTCTCTTCGAATCATATCTGGCTAAAGGTAAATATAGTGTCTTTAAGAATTGTAATAACTACTCACATATCTCCGCCTTCGTAGTAGTTGGTTATGATACATATATAGCTTCCCTGAAATATAATGCAAATTGAGACTCTTTATTCAACAGCAGCTTCAAAATCTCATAATATATAATTAGTCCCCAAACTATGGCATGTATGTTATCTTGGTCTCTAGATAAAGGCTTCTAACATGATAGCCCATCATCTGATGATGAAAAATAACACTTCAATCCTTTAGGCCCCTTTTTTTTATATATATTTTTGGTGCTTGGGGAGCAAAAAGATGTCAGAGACATAGACCAAGGGTCAATCATGGTTTTGATCCTAAATCTCAACAAACATTTCAGCAGCGAAGAACTGTCAAATACCTTTTCCACCCAAGCATCTTTGTACTCCATAATGTATGGGTGTCTTAGTTTCACATTCAAATTCATCTGCAGAAAATAAATTCATAAATGAGTTGGTTAAACTCTATAAGACTTGAGAGACATCATCTAGGGAAGTCCTCATCACACTTTTAATGCAAGTACTAAGCAAGATTGTTAAGGTAAGCCAAGTCGAATACAACTATACAAGGTTAAAGAAGCAGAAGAAGAGATCAAAAATAAGGTGTTTATATATCAGTAATTAGAAAGAGTGGGTGTTGGACCTCTTGATATGCCGCCCGCTTGAGCATCTCAGTCTGTTTTGCCAATGGAATCTTCTTTAGAGCATACCTAATCATATAAATAAGGAAAAATAAGAAAAAAAAATCTATAAGAACCAATCTTATACTCCGTATCATGCAGTTTTTTCAATAAAAAATAACTGTTGTAGCACAATCTTGAGAACATAATGTAATACACTTGTGGCTATATTACTTCAAATGACTGCATTCATCTGTAGTTGTAAATGTTACCATAAATACATCCTATTTAATACGGAGTATATTCAATCATATTTAAAGATTGCCACTTTATCACAATTTGTTATAAGCTGTCCTATATTATCATATATAACACACACACACACACACACACAGCAGTCCAAAATATATTGAAAGCCCAGACAAACAACTAAACAAGCAAACAAAAATCTGGATACTACACATGGTGAAGAAAATATGAGCAATTGCACCCACGAGGAAAAATAAGTGAAAACAGAAGGATTAATATTGAGTTTTGGTTTTTTAAGGAAGAAAGAAAAAAGGGAAAAAAGAACCAATTTTGGAGTGCCAGAGGGCTCCCAATTTGTTTAAAGAAAAAAAACTTCTTGGAATTGCTCATGCGTGCAGATGGTCAAAACACTCACCCAGAATTGGAAGAAGATTTTTTTATTTATATCTGTAAATAAGTCTAGATTCCAACCGAGAAACACTCAGCAGAAATTAGCATCTTAAAAATGAGATGCAGATGTTCAAAACCAACCATTTTACACAAAATAATCACACCTTAATACACAGCCACACGAGCCCTAGTCTATGTCCAGTGCAACTGAAGCAACAAAACAGGAAAGACAAAAAAAAGAGATGCAAGATTCTTACTTCCTATTTTCAGCTCGATGAAGAAGAAGGAACGTTGATCCATGAACCCCTTTCCCAATCTGTCCCAGCAACTCATAATCTTCCATCTTTGAGTTGGAACCATCACCACAACTCTCCCCCTCCATAGTGACCCAATAACTCAGCCAGTCAAATTTCAGCCAAAGATGCAATCTTTTCGGGTCAAAAGTGAAATCAGACAAGAAAAAGGCAAATATTCGTTCCCACCAACACCAGATATTAGTCGTTCAAAGTTGGGGTTTACATAATACGGAGTAAAATGTTATAGTGGGGATTTTGGGTTTCTGAGGAGGCCCAGGAATGAAGGGGTGGTAGCATAAAGCTTCATGATGCCAAGCAACACCAACCCCTTTGACTGCTAAACGTGTGTGAGATTGAGATTGAAGACACGGAGATGAGTGCTGTGGAGGCAGGTGGGTTGGGGCCTGTGGGGCTGTGGGGTAGTTTGGCTGAAGTCAAGAGTAGGCTCATCTAAAACCAAAAGCAGCCAACAACATTCCACTACTTTTGTTACTCCTGATTTTGTTCTTTCCATAATTTTCTTTATGTATTGAATTTCTTAAGATGATGTTAACCTTTTTTTTTCTTTTTATTATCTGAATTTTGAGATCAACATTTTGAACGCATTAATCAAAAATCAAGTAAAATACCCCGTATATATTCATCTACGTAATGCTAAATTTTATCATTAAAATTGCAGTGAAATTTGGATAACAGATTTAATGTCTAATCACACTAGACCGTTCCAAGACTCCTACGGTGTTCTATTAGTAAATTTGGTAGCTTTTACCTCTGACTCCACTTAAGCACCTCACCTCAACGCCCTTGCCTCCCCCCCACCCCCACCCATGCAACCCATTAAATGTTGGCATCAAAATTATTGGCTTAATTTGGATGTCGATCGGTGATCAAAGGGATATGGGAGTGAGGTGGAGTTTAATGGAAATTAGGAGGAATGAGAAATATTAGTTTTATGAACGAAACATTGTAAGGTGTCCCAATTGAATCAATATCATCATAAGCCACTAACAGCTAGTATCGTATGATAACATTGACACCCAATGCAGCCATGTCGCCCGAACGCTCAATACTTCCAAATGATTTATCTATCATTAAACTCATTTTCTTTCCATGAAAGGATATTTAACTTATAAGCAGTCTATAAATTAAAAATTGTTTATCAACAATAAGCTAAAAAACATCAGTACAGAGAAAAGCCCCATAATCCCATTCCCTTGTGATCTATCCATTCTTCTTCATCATTGTTTTCTTTTCATTTTTTTCATTTTCACCGCAAGGACATTAAAACTCTACGAAATGTTATTTTCCTTTGTTAATAAAAATAGTTTAAGCATAGTGGATAATTCCTATCAGAGGACATTATTAAAGATGATCGAGGATATTAAGAGTGCAAATTCCTATGAGAGTACTCATAATGTATGGCAGTTGAAATGTTATGGACATTAAGCGTAGTGGATGATGGGTATTAACCCATTAATTCTACCCGGCAGGTTCGCAACCGACCGGGAGGTACCTTAGTCTGATGCCTCATGCCTTGGTCAACCCGGGCAATCTAACCGGTCAGGTATGAGAAGATTCAGGATTGAGAACGTGGCTCCGTTTGACGAAGGCATGCGTGCTGACCGGTTGAAGACTGACCGATCGAAAGAACAGTGACATCGGGACGTGCTTGACGTGCTTGATCATTCTTATAAATAGGACTAAAAGCCTCATTAGAAAGGCATGCTTTAATTAATCCACACGGCTTGTACCTTTGTAAAAGGTCTTATTATCATTAATAACAAACCGGGTTACAGGTGTTCCCACCTGTCAAAGAACCAATTCAACCAAAAGCTCATGCTTGTGGTCCAAGAAATGATTCTTATATTCTAACACGCCCCCTCACGTGCAGGCATAGTTTTTTTCGAGCCTTGCACGTGAAACCTTAAGTTTTTAAAAACTGGGTGGCGCTGAGTTTCGAACCTGTGACCTCTTAGTCAACAAGGCTCTGATACCATGTCAAAAAACCAATTCAACCAAAAGCTCAAGTTTATGGTTGTTGTCCAAGAAATGTTTCTTATACCACATACAGCCCTTCAGCTTATCTATATTTAGTATTTGCGTGGTTTTACACTATCAGTGGATAATATTTTTCCGGTGATGAGCATTCTTGGCTATGATGGGGCTCATCCTTTGTTCGAGATGATCGGCCGCGACCGGCGGGGGTGGTGAGGGTCAGTGACAACGTTGACTGGTTGGTAGTGGTGGTTGATGGGGGCAATGTGTTGTGATCGGTAGCCGCAGAATAAATAGAGTAATAAGTTGGAAAAATTGGTTAATACTCCGTACTTAGTAAGTTGGGCTTGAAATCTAAAAGAGTATTTTGGTACATCAATAATTAATTAATTATATACTCCTTCAGGTCCTAAAAACTTTTCTTGTGTTGACTTTTAATTTTTTTGACCACAAATTATTAGAAACATATATTTAATTATCATATAAATTCAATGTTATTAGATTCATCTTAGAATATAGTTTTGATAAATCAAATTTTTATATCATTTATTTATTTATTTAGATTATGTTTAATTTATGGTCAAAGAGTGTCGATATTTGACCCAAAAAATTAAAACAAAAAAGATTTTTAGGACCGGAGAGAGTACTATTTAGAGAAATGAAAACTTTTGGTCTTATTTAGGAAATATGACAATGTTTTACATTCATTTGAATAATTTTCTCTTTCTTAAAATTTGTAGTACATATTTTTCCAATTTTGTTCCTATTTTATTTAAATTTTTTACTATTATCTAAATACTACATTCGCCCTTGTGTATTTTTCTATTTTGACTTTTTTGAGTCAAACTAGATGAATATTGAGTTTCAATTACTTTCAATTTGTATGGCATATAAGTATAATGAAATAAGTTTTTTAAAAGTTTTCAACAAGATAAATTTATTGCATCATTTTATGTTAACATACATGACAAGTTTTAATTGGCGACGGAGGTAGCGACAGATAGGGTGGTTAACGGCGAGGGTGGCGAACGACGAAGGAGGAAGAAGACAACGACGATGGGTGAGAAATTAGATCACATAAAAGATAAAACGCGAATGATTATTTTTAACCAACTCATTTGAACCGGTTATTACTAATAACCGATTCAATAGACTATTGAATCGGTTATTACTAATAACTGATTCAAAAGGTTATACTCATTTGAATCAGTTATTAGTAATAACTGATTCAATTGACTTTTGAATCTGTTATTATTAATAACGGATCCAAAAGGTACCAGTTGGTGAAAATACACACCCCAATTGCACTGGTTATCTATAGAATTGATGCAAATGGGATAGTCGATTTGACCTTTTCGTTAGTAGTGTTTGTGTAATTGAAGCTCCGATTTTCATTCAATTTTATTTAAAAAAATCAAACTAGATAAATACACAAAGACAAAGCATGTTTTAACATGTATTGATTTGTTTTGTATGTTTAAAACTCTGTTTTTGGGGACTACTCGAAAATTAGTTATTTTTGTGTAAAGAGTTGTCCAATTTTTTTAAGAAAAATTCACCAGAATACTCTGAAATATACGACTAAATATTTGTAATCTAAATATTCACATCTAAATATTTGTAATCAAATATTCAAATTAGATTAGGTAAAAGTATAAGAACATAAGAGTCATATATGATGTCAAAATGAGTTTATCTATGTTTGGCATGGCATTACTAGATCTGCGAAGGCCGAAGCGCGGAAGGGGAGTCGTGTAAGGACTACAACAAATCTCCTACTCCTTATTTTTTTTCCTACAAGTACTAGGTATAGGCTTCACTTTTGCCACTAATCTGTGATTAAAGTTCAATTTTTTGAGGGACCTCTCGATGATGGGGCTCATCCTTTTTTTTGTTCAGAAATCTCCAATCTATGTGAACATGTGTATATAATTTTTATTAGAAAAATGCTAGGGGTTTGGTGTATCCCATTTGTCCCCCACCCCCTCCATTACCACATAAATGGGCAAGCATTTTAAAAAAATTAAATAAATAAAAAATAGATAAAAATAAATGATGGAGAAGGGGGTGGGGGACAAATGGGGTAAAGTTAGTGTATATTATATACTATAACCGGTTGTACGGAAAAAACGTACAACTGACGGAAAATTAGCAGAAGAGCCGCGGAAAACAAAGAGAGTACAGAGCAATTCTTGGAGCATCCGGTGTGGATCGTGGAAGAAGAAGAAGATGATGACGATTAGGGAGCAGAGATCCGATCTAAAATTTGCTATGAGTAGTCCGCACGATTTTGGGAGGAAGGAGAGATCCGACTAAATTGGGCTGCCCTACCTTTCCCGATCTGACGAAATCGAAGAAGCTATGAAGACGCCTGCAACAAACCTAAGTGGGATGGAGATGCATTGAGATGTTATGTAGAGGATGATGATGGTAAGATTAATTACACTATATTTTTCAAATGTGAAACGATTGAAAAACTTTACTTGAGAATGAACACTGGCTTATTTGAGAATGAGCACTACTTTGTTTAAGAATGAACATTACGTTATTAGTAAATGAATATTGTAATTATATTAAACAAATGTGTGAAAATGAGTATTTCGTTATTTCAAAATGAGTTATTTCAGAATGAGTACTACGTTATTTCAAATGAACACTTATGTTTGCGCAAGAATGAGTACCACCTAATTTCAAAATGAGTATTATCCGGCTGTATCTTATTTCTGCTACACCCGGTTGTACCATATATGCAGTCAACACTATGTCGTTTATATACTTTTATTTATTTATTCATTTTAATTTTAAATTTAATTTTTATAAATTTAATTTCTTTGATACTCTAAGGGTTTGTTCTTTTGGATTGGAAAACTTAACTTCCAACTACTTCTACTTTCTTCCAACTTTTTTCATTTTCTTCTAACTCATAGTTTATTTCAACAACGACTAAAAAATATTTACATATGATGAATATATAAAAACATCTTATATCCAAATTTATAACATACAACATCAAACACGTGTGTACATAGATAATTTTTTTAATCCTAAATTAGTTTAATATGGACAATTCACATGACTTTTTGGTACTTGGTCTGTCCCTGAGTGTTTGTCCACTTTTGATTTTTGGAACTGTTCATCTAAGCACTTTGACTCATCAAATTCTCTCAATGTGTAAGCCTAAAAATAGTCATGTGTGATCTTGTTTGATTCGTCTTAACATATAGATTATTAATATATTATAATTTTTTAATATACATATTACAAGATAAAATGGATAAAAGAAGTGCTTTGGATGGTGTGGAAAAACGAAAGTGGACAAACACTCAGGGACGGAGGGAGTATTATATATTGGATGATTGAGTCGATTGACATTGTATAAGTATTTTAACTCTTATTCTAGAAATAAAAATATGAAACTCATATTTTGGTATATTTTTTATATTTTACTCATACTTTAGGTTTTTTTCCCTAATAGAGTGGTTATTTTAGTACATTATTCTTTCTAATATTTTCCAACTCATTTCATTTTTTTCCAACTTCTTTTTTCAATTCCTTCCAATTTTGCCCTGATAGTTAACCCCCTATCTTCTAAAATCATACTCCTGTATTATGTAAAATAGTACACGAGTACATGGTGTTTGATATTTTTCTTTATCCCACATTACTGCGGGATTAGCTATTAGATGCCACCTTTTCTTTAACACACTGAAGGTGTGCTCGATATCCTTTCTAGCAGACTCTTGAGCTTTCTTAAAAAAACATGTTTCACATCTTCCTTGCGTGGAAGTAAACGACTTTACCATTGTTTCTCACTCTAGGTAGATGCCATCAGCCAAATAATAACCAAAATTATACTCGGTACCGTTTCACAATAAAAGATGGCGTTGTTGCAACTCCTTCGACGATATCATCAAAAATTGGAAACTGATCAAGAACATTTAAATCATTAATTGATCCAAAAACTCCAAAGAAAGCATGTTATACATACCCAAAGATCATTTGACGTTACTACTTCAAGCATTAATGTCTGAAGTCTATGGTCACCCCATTGATATTGGCTCCGCCAAGGCATTGGGCAGTTCGCCCACTCTCAATACATACAATCAATGCTACCAAGCATTCATGGGAATCCTTTCACTTCCTCATGAACGTCGTATATTTTTTCAATGTCATTCCATAACGGTTTCTGTAAATATTTTTCGCACTATAATGCCATGACACCTTCAATATAATCCAAATTAAAATTTTACACTGACTATGTTTGGAAAACAGCTTTTCGGATAACTTTTGTCATCTTTGACTGACTTTGGCTTGTTTGACTTATCAGACCACCAAAACCATTGTTTGGCAAATAGTTTTTTCACTTGGCTTTTTGATCCAAAATGCCAATATCCGAAAAGCCAAGGAAAGTAGCTTTTGAACTTGGCTTTTAGAAAAATTATTTTTGAAAATCATTTTTCTTGAAAGATATTTTATAATATATGTAAAAAAATAGAAATAAATGTTAAAAAAATTCAAAAATTAAAAAATGTAAATTTTAAATTTTCAAAAAAAAAGATATGAGAAAATCAAAAGTAAAAATCATCAAAAAGTTATATATTTATAATTTCTTATGAATTATATGAAAAATGAAATTTTATACTCCATATGTTAACGATTTAATTTTTATATGTACAAAAATAAAAAAACAAATTTTACCAAACAGCTAATTTTACCAAACATTTTTAATGATCAGTCAACTCATCTTGCCGGTCAAACCAGCTAAATTAAACATCTATTTATAACAGCTGATACAAATAGCCAACAACTGACAGCCAACATCCAAACAAGTCCAATGTATACTCGAAGAATTTTTTTTTGTTACTCTCTCCGTCCCAATGTATTTGTCTTGTTTGACTTTTTTGAATAAGGCTTGACAAACTTTTAGATTTAATTAAATAAAAATCGTAATGTATTTTAATATAAAAATAACTTAATTAGATTCATCGTATTGAAAACTTTCAAAATTGTATATCATTGTACTAATATACTGTAGAAATTGAAAGTAATTAGAGTTTAAAGTTTATCCAGTTTGACTCGAAAAAGTCAAACTGGCCAAGTGGGACGGAAGTAATACAAATTAACTATAACAAATTAAAAATAGAAATGCAAATGTACCTTTGCAAAATTTGTAAAGTGTATCACGACTTGTTTCTTCAGACATCTTTCAATATTCATCCCAAGAAACAGAACTCGTATCATAAGCCGATTACCGAATTGCAGATGTACATTTTTGCAAATGCGCAAATCCAAGTTTACCTCTACCGTCGTAACATTGTTGGAAGTATTGAAAATTAGCTTGCAAGTGATCGGCAATTCTACAAAAAAGAGGTCAGCTTGTTGGAGTTCCCACATCGGAAAATAAAGAACAATGCCACTAGCATATATAGAAGGGTGAAGCCCTACCTATCGGCTTAAGTTTTTGGATTAGAATAGTGGATCCCAACTTTAAATGCAAGTGATTAATTTTACCCAACATTCCACCTGTTGTTCTCGGCCCACCGGAATTTTAACGTGGTATCGGAGTAGGTCCAGTCCGGATTCAAATATTCCTGGTTGTTGGACGTGGCCACGTGGGTTTAGCAAAATAAGTTATCCGTCCTTGGTTTGGGTTGAGTTGGCTAAAAGAGATTGAGATGCCACCATCTGTCTATTTTTTTTCATTTCAAACAACGTGTGAAAATTCCATTTTTTAATTACTTTATTTACAAATTGATAAATCAATAAAATATAAATTATATTGTTTAAGATGTGATTAAAAGTTCAATAAAACAAGATATCATAAAAGTATTTTATCTTATCCAATGAATAATAAAAATATGCAAGCAAACATAAGTTAAATGGTAACTGAAAGAAAAAAATGGAAAGTGAAGTACTCCGTATTACTTTTTTCAACCTCTCAAGAAGAGGGTTAATAGCATGGCCATGGGTGTGTGAGTGCCTTTCGCAATTTACAAAGAAATACTACCTCCGTCCCGCTTTGTTTGTCCATTTTTGACTTTTGGAACTGTTCATCTAAGCACTTTTACTCATCAAATTCTCTCAATGTGTAAGCCTAAATATAGTCATGTGTGATCTTGTTTGATTTGTCTTAACATATATATTATTAATATATAATTTCTATAATTTTTTAATATACAAATTACAAGATAAAATGGATTAAAGAAGTGCATTGGATGGTGTGCAAAAATGAAAGTGGACAAATATAGTGGGACGAAGGGAGTATTTGCAGTAAATAGCACTAAAACTTAAGTCATTTCTCTAAATAGTACTTAAACTATTTTATTTTCTAAATAGCACTAAATAATGTCTATAATGTCCAGTGATGGTGAATATTTACTTGAATAATGACTAATGCAGAATGACTAAAAGTGCTACAATAGGAAGAAAAACACATGTGGTGCTCTTTAGGAAAAGTCATTATGTTTTAGTACTATTTAAGTAAATTCCCCATTTACAAAATGGACATCAAACTCCTTTTATTTTCAAAAATTATTTGTAGAACCTCAATAGTTTCTAATGGTGCACACACCCCCCCTTAACCTTTTTTTCATAGTTAAAATGTCATTTATGCTCGTTTTTGCTCTTTCAAGAATTTTTTTATTTTTATTTTTTCTTGTTTATACAAATAAAAGAAATAGCATATACGCTCTCCATCTCAAATTAAAACTAGTCATTTATTTATTTTTCAAAAGAAAAGATTTTTTATATAACGTTACAAGAGAAAATAAAAAAATACCCGAGTGGAAAAAACAAATAAATTACTTTGTACGAAGTAAAATAAAAAAAGGATAAAAAAGATAATGAAAAAGAAATACGGAGTAATCATTTCTTTAATACTTAAATAAACATTTGTTTTTTTAAATAAAAAATAAAAAAAGAATTTTGTATGAGAGAAGGTTTACAAAATTAGTATACACCCAAGGTGCACCAAAGAAGCACTCTTTTTCATTTACTCACAGTATTTTTTGATTACCTTTTTCTATTTCTTTTAAGATATCTCTCTATTTAGAAATAAAATATAGAGAAAGTACAAAAATAGAAACTTTGTATTTTTATCCCCAAAATAGGAGTTCATATTGTGATAATATGGTAATGTACATGGACATTTTGTAATATTTTTTGGTAATGTATATTGTCATGATTGGTAATGTAAATGGATTTTAACTCGTATTTCTAGAATAAAAACATGTAATTTCTATTTTGGTATGTTTTCAATGTTTACTCCTACTTTAGTCTTTTTACCATCTTTTTTCTTTTACTCCATATAGATTATTGTATTTCATTTTGTATTTTCATTGTCTTTTGTAACTTTCTTCAAAAAAGACTTTTATTTTAAAAATAAATAGACGGAAAAAATTTAATTTAAGATGAAGAGTGCATATGTTGCTTTATTTATTTGTATATACAAAAAACAGAAAATAAAAAAAGTGAAACTTCATGATAAAAGAAAAGAAAGACATAAATGGCATTCTAAGTTTAAAAA